CAACACAACAAAAACGGTCACAACAGAGAGCAAATACCGATTCGCAGTTCATATACATGTGGCCGAAGAGATTATTCGCGGATAAATATTGCAGCTGACACAAATCATGGCCAGGTAGGCCAACTATGTAAGGACTCGGAGAAAATTCTCATCCTTCTAGTCTGCAATGATATTAGGGGAGATTTGGTGAAGCAGAAGGGTTATAAATCTCAACAGGTCTCAGATGTCATCTAATTACGCCAACGGAGGTGGAAGTTATGGCAAAAGTGCGCACCATCTTTTAGTACTTATGCGAGGGATGCACCCAACTATGATCTGGTACCCCGACGACAATTAAACCGACCTATATTTCCATACCCCAGACTCGTTGTATTGCCAAATCTAGATGTTTTAAAATTCTGTTAGCCTCATACACTAACACAAGTCTGACTATGAGGACAGTTAATTTAAGTGGGCTGTTAATCTCAATTCAGTGATGCATTTGGCAGCTTTTACATCTACAACATTAAATGTAAAATTCAACCTCCAAACGAGACCCCAAGGGGAGGGCACAGTGACAAAAAAGTACATGCTTAAAGAACAAGTCGAGAAGAATTAACGCTTCGCTGTGTTCTCGCACGAGATGGATGCAAGGAAACCAAGTGATCCTTAGCCAGATTAGACTGCTTGTTGTTTCACTTTGGTCGTGAATGTGAATGAACAGTATTTATGAGGTATGGATTTATTCCAAAACGGTTACTACAAGACTCGCTCGATTCAATGACAAAGAAATGTATTGGGAGGTCCGAAGCCTTAGCAAAGAAATGCATCGTTTCGTCCGAGGAAAGCTTAGAATGTGGTTAAAAAGTTCGTGACAGTTTGCAGCACGTAAAATAGGATTAGTTGGGAGCCTTGTTTGTAACTCATTGCCTTATTCTTCTTACCTGATTGAAAAATATTTCGCATGTGGAAGCCGAAGGAAAGGCGAAACCGAAACCTAATGAAGTATTCAGCTAAACTTTTACTCAAAATGCAAAGGTGACGGTAGCAATGTTCTGATTATTGAGCACTTCAAATAGTCTGTTGAACCAACATGGACTTTGAAACCAACAACTGACTAAAAAGATCAGGGAAGTTGATAGGAACGAGTAAGATCATCTTGCGCAAACTAAAGCAGGACCCACATCCATGCACCCACACAGTGTGCTTTCCGAAGGTCATTCCATATCGTCCAAAAAACAAAGTGAGTGCAGATACGATTGGCAGCACTTTGATTAATATGAAGCGCCGAATCCCAATGACATAGCAGACGCTTTAGGCAGTTCTGTCACAAATGGATCAATTTCATTCGTTTGTATAGACCACCTTTTCCTTACCACAAAATAATGACTAAAAGTTAGTCGTGTATAACTGAACACATTTGTATTTAAAATAAGATTCCTCAATTCGTTTGTTCTCATCAACGTATACAAAAGCAATAAAATGCAAGTTAAGGGTCGACTCTTGATTCATCGAAGTTTGGAGACAAGCTTTGCGAGTTGGGTTTTAATCATTGCATTATCACGAAGTTTGACCTCATTTCCCTTGACTCTTAAATCCGGATAAATACTTTCCACGAACCAAGCAAAATCTTTGCAATTGAGTTGCTGTCTCAATCTTTCACGTAAGGTGAGGTCTCCAACTGGAATCTTAAGTGCTTCTTGTTGAGATGAGTAGAAGAGCGCCATTGGAGGTATAGGGTGCCTAACCGAATCAATTTGCAGATTTCTGGAGGGCTGCATCCAAACCATTGCAACACGCTTCAGATTCTTCATGATCGTAGCCATTTTGCCCTTGGGAAAGGAATAGCCATGAGAGCTTCGAAAGAGGTGCGATACACGGCTACAAGGAATAATCTCGACTCGACCGCCGCACATCCATGCACGCAGACTCAACTCAATATTCTCGCCACCCCAGATCTCCAGTTGATCGTCGAAGGCACCGAAAGACATGAAGCGACTGCGATTCACGGCGATCACGGATCCAGCAATGACTGGACTTGGACGTGGCAGACTTAACCATGTCAAATTCAATTGATTACCATAGGTGTTAAGCTGTGCCAACGAAAGGATAAAAGTGCGGCACCGATGAAATTATAATCAACTGTAATGAATGAAATC